TTGAGCCAAAATGGCTGAGGAGGAAGGGAGGAGGAGGAGGAGGAGGAGGAGGAGGAGGAGGAGGAGGAGGAGGAGGAGGAGGAGGAGGAGGAGGAGGAGGAGGAGGGGAGGGGGAGGGGGAGGAGGGGGAGGAGGGGGAGGAGAAGGAGGAGGAGGAGGAGGAGGAAGAAAAGGAGGAGGAAGAAAAGGAGGAGGAGGAGGAGGAGAAGGAGGAGGAGGAGGAGGAGAAGTAGGAGGGGGAGGAGGAGATGTATGAGGAGGAGGCCGACCAGGAGGAGGACGAGGAGGAAGGTATCCGATAAGGACGGGCTGCAGCAGCAACTGGGGACTACCATACATCGCCCGCGCAAAGCACGGGAAAGATCTCGTGGCAGAATTGCGCCCGTCACGGTTTCCGCGGGCAGCTCTTTCAAGCCAAGCGGAGCGGAGAAACAAAAACAACAATCAGCTTCAGTTTGCGGCAGCGGTCGTGGCTCAAATGCTGGAAACTATCTGAACCCAAGCACTAAACCAAAGAGGAGGCGGGAGAAGACGAGGACGGAAAGAGGCAACTGAGAAGTAATGGGAGCATACTAGCGCTACGGACGCAAGTGTTCGCGCCATGCCGGTCACGGCATGCAGACCCGGGATACGAACAAGTTGCACGAGCAGGACACGAAGAAACCGTGGAGGACAATGTACGAGGACGCGGCAACCGTGGAAGCGAAAACGAACGATGATCTTCAGACGTTCCAAATAGCACCGACGATGCAAGCAAGGGGGAGTCGCGAGCTGTGCCCCCTCAACCATGATCTGCGCCCAAAACGACGCTGGCCGCCGCCACTCGCCCATTACGCACGGCGTTGGCGGCCTTGAGGGCACCGTGAAGGCGCAGCGCCCTCAACGCATGGTGGTTGGCGCAGGTCTGTGGAGGAGCAGGAAGCCATCCTGACACAGCTCGGCCAGCGCGGGCTGCAGCCGGAGACGCGCGCGAGCCAGCCGGGCAAAGTGCGTGATGCAATCCCTCCACGCCGGGCATCTAAATAAGCACCCCGAAGGCCCCATGCTCGCGCCAGTTGTAGTTCAGCCGCCGACGGAATCTGTCAATGAAGCCGTCCACGCGCAAAGGGGACACAAACGCCCCAACGCAGGCGAGGGCTGCCTCCACCCGCTGCAAAAAACGCCCCGGAGCAGAAAGGAATGGCCAACGATCCAGACGTACCCTGAGATGCGGGCGCAGCCTTTGCTATTCGCGAGCTTGAAACAAATTCGTGCAAAACCAGAACGAACGGTTCCACGGAATCGGAGCCGCAGCGGTCCCCTGAAGCAAGAGATACACGCTGGGACTCGCCGCGGCCGCCGCACCGTCCGGTCGACGATGGGCCTGCAGTGCGTCTGGCCAAAAATTGTTGGGGAACCAGCTGGTCCAAGCGGCCGTTCGATCTGCGCGCGCAGTAAAAGCAAACGTTTGTTTTGGGCGTTGCAGCCGGCGGGTGATCTGAAAAATTCCGCGAGCAACGTCTTCCAAACGAAATACTGTGCATGTCGCTCAGAGCGCCATGGCGACAGGACGGGCCACTTCCGCTGCAATACCACGTGTCTTCCGCTGCTTCAAGAGAAATGGGGGTTGCACAACCTTGGGACCCCGGGGAATAACGTCGATGCAATGCGCCGCTCAACCTGCCCCCACTGCGGGGGCAGATCCTCCAAGTGGGCGAGGGAGCCAACCAGGGGCAATAAGTACATGCGAAAGGCCACACTTGGGACGAGCATGCCGCCGACAATGCTTTCCCAAACCTGCCCCGCTCCTGCACCTTTTTCGATGGCGGCGCCCCATGCGAGGAGGTGGGCTGTAGGAGGAGACAGACGAGACAGAGAGAGAGAGAGGGAAGGATAAGAAATAATTCGGAGGAGCGAAGAGGAGGAGGAGGAGGAGGAGGAGGAGGAGGAGGAGGAGGAGGAGGAGCAGCCATGAGCCATGGAGAACAGAAGACCGAACCCGCGCGAGAGGACCGCCTCACAAACAAATACGGCCTCATCACAAAAGGGGCCGCGCTCCGCCCCCACACGGGGAGACCTCCCTCTTCACGTGCAGGGGAGGCCGTTCGCTCATCGGCGAGAAACTCACGCAACACGGCCGAAGTACACGTCAGCGTTGTGACCCGCGACACGCTGCCCATACGCGATGGCGGTGGTGCAGAAGGGGACGGTCGGTGCCAAACGGATGAGACGCGCGTCCGGGTTGGTACCCCAGAGCGAAGAGGCACGAAGGCCCCACGGGACACATGGGCCACATGGCCCCGCCACTCGCCACGGCCCCGGGCAAGGCGCCACGCGGCGGGACCAAAGACGAGCCGGCATGCTGACACCAAGCCGCGAAGCGCACATGGCATTGTCAACGTCCCCGAGGCGTAGGGCTGAGCACCAGGATACGATACCTAGCAAAGCAGTAACTGCCCCCCCGCCGCGGGGGAGAGGAGGAGGAAGAGGAGGAGGAGGACGACGAGGAGGGCGCGACTATCGGAAAAGGGAGGGAGCGGAGGAGCGATGACGTAGGGCCACTCGTATCCTCAACAGCCTCCAGCGGTTTTCGGATAGGGTGGGGGATGGGGAGGCAGGGGGCAAAGTAGGCAGAGGCAAGCTAGGCGCGCTAGCGTCCCATCTGACGTTTTACCCCTCCCTCCCATCCCTTACCATGGCGTAGATCTCATATCCTTTCGCAAAGTAGGATGTCGAGCAGGGCAATGACCCCAAGAAGGTACGCGATGAATAGAAAAGCATGGCGTAGAAGAGCACTGCAGAGCATAACATGTCATAGCATGGCGGGGCATCGTTGAGCGAAGCATAGCAACGCAAAACGTGGCATCGCACAACGGTGCACAACACAGCATCGCGTTGCGTGCCGTGGCAACGCACCGGCTTAGTTCGAGGGTAGGTGGCCCATCTACGAAAAGACAGGGCCTGTCCAGAATGCTGGCTCCATGACCTCCGCAACAACGCCTGCTCGATGTGGGAGCTTTCGAATGCCAAGTGCCGTCCGAATGCGCGGGAACGACGCCAACGCTGCAACGGGAGAACGAGTTTGAAGGACCGGAGCACGGAAATGAGGGCGGCGGTGCAGCGGGAGCACCATTTTGGAAGAACCGGAACACGACTGGATTGAAAAAAAAAATACGCGGAGAGGACGGGACACTCTCCCGACAGAGTCCCGGGAGAGAGGAGAGTAAATAGTATCCATATTGTGTGACTGTGAAGGAGGGAAAGGTGGCAGTGGGGGACAGCCAGGAGGGGGACAAGGAGATGGGAATGGAGGGGGGACGGGGGAGGAGGCCGGACGACGAAGAGGAACAGGCTGAGGAAACAGAGAAATGAGAAGAAACATGAGAAGAAGACGACCAAACGAGAGGGCGTGCCGTCCTCAACCTGGGGAAATTTCCTCCAGCTCTGCGGCTGTCCCAAGGCTGTACCCTTTCATCGCTGATCGACCGAACCCACAGCATTGACAGCTTCGGTCGCATCCGGCCCGGCCACACATCAAATGAGGAGGGGCGTCAACCTGAGGGGTGCGCAGCCGACTCGACCGACGTTACGCGCAAGCGCCGGCACGCACCGCCGAAACGAGCGGATCGCCCCCCCCGCTCCTCGCATAAGAAAAACCAAACCTCCGGCGTCGTGACATTTTCAACCCGTGTCACGAGGGCCCCTCGACCCCTTCCCAGGGAAGGGCGTCTACATCAAGGGCCGCTGCTTGATGGTCCCGACACTATGTGTGCGTCGTCCGTCGCGTCCAATCGGACGGCGTCGACGACGTGAGCGTTTACTTATTCGGCGTTTCGGTATTTGGCAGAAAAGGGGTTGGGAGGGGGCGGGGTCTGGCTCCGGACCTCTGCTTAGTTCGACTGCTTGCAACCGTGCGTTCCATGGGGGAGCCTCCACCTGCTCGAAACAGGCGCCAAAAACGGCCAAGATCTACCCCCATGGGGGGGAGGGGGGGGGCGAGGGCCCGCGCCGATCGGCAAAACAATGAATAAGAAAACGAAGACGATACTGTCTTTGATTGGAAGTCGTTTGGGGTGACAACGGTCCCCCAAACAGTGCTTGCGATTTTTGGTCCTTGCGTAGCTGTCCAACGACTAAACGTGTACACCGCAATTTTGCCCCGTTGTCGTCCGTGGGCACCTCGTGGGCGCTTCTTGTGCTGAACAGGTGTGCCGAAATGTTGCCACGTCGCCGCCCGCGGCCGGTCGTGGGCGTATGCCATTCAACGCACAGAGCCTACACCACAGAGGCACCACGCAGCTTGCACTGCATAAGCGACACCACACACGGCGTGTACAACACACAGACACACACACACACACGCACATGCATACATATACTTACACACATATACATACACATGTTTATGTAACAGTTGGATCACGTACTTTGCAGGACGCAAATTGCAACACACAGCCTACAACACAAAGCTTGCACCACATACTTAGTTTGCACCAATGAACATTGGACTCGCACCCCCCGCCCCCAACGAAGCTGGGGTTGACGGTTCAGCGCCGCATGCTGGATTTTCATGTGTATTCAGCACGAACGATCATCCGGAGTATCAAATAAGCTGAAAGCTAACAAGCAAGGCATCGACCGCGGGCACCTCCGTGGACATCCCGGGGCACCCCGGCCCAGGTGCACTTCTGGCAACACTCGAAGACAACGCTCAGCCTGCAGCGCGCCGCGCCCGTTTTGCCAAGGAAGGGCGCGCACCTGCCGCAGTCCGAGACGAGAGCAGGGGCAGAAAAACGTCGGATCTTGAAGCGGCGGCGACCTCCAAAGCCGAACCCCACCAAACATCGACTCTCCTGAATCGATGGGAGGCGGGGGGCGGGGTTCGGATTTCGCCACGTACTCGACGAATTCCGATACCTACCCCCGCTGCCCATCGAAAGCATGAACATTAGGGTGCGCATTTCGCCGCTGAAAATGAATCTTGGGTTCGCCGACTTAAATTCTTTCGGCGTGGGAAATGGCTACACCTCCCCACGCCCCTCTCTGGGAGCCTGGTCGGGCCGGCTTGGATGGGGGATGGCGGAATTCCACCGAACGGCCCAGGCGGATTCACACGCCCACTACAAAATCCAAGGCGCGCACAAGTATTCAAGGAAACCCCATGACCACGACGACCCAACATACTATGTCGAACGAGGATAAGTTCAGCCCGAGATGAATCCATGGTCTTTACAAACTGGATGTGTCGGGAGCGGCGACCGTTCCAGAGCGCTCCAAGACGCTTCGGACGCTCCGAGCCTGCCTGATAACCTTTTTCACCCCTACCCACCCATAATCGGCCCGGGCGATCGGACCGACACGCCCGAAATGGGCACGGGAAAAACGGCCACTGTTGAGCAGGCGACTATTTGTCAAAAGTGGCGAACACCCACGGCGACGCTGACAGCGAGTCTTGTTCAACGCAGACAAGAGTTGCTGCAGGTCTTCGCCCTCGCCGTTCCCGTGCCCATTTCAATCGCAAAGATCGAAGGACGAGAGGTCGCAACGAGTCGGCGCCTTGTCCGGCTTGATGACGCCTAGCTTCACAAGGATCCAGTCGAAAGCCCTCGGCGCGGGATGGCATTCTTCCCCGTCCTCTTCCTCCTCCTCTTCCTCCTCCCCCTCGTCCTCCTCGTTGAAAACAGGGAAGACCGGCGGAAAGATGGGTAGACACACACAGTGGCACACCTTCGAGCCCAAGCATCCAGCACCACACAGACAATCTCGGCGCCATGATGGAGGCAGCATGCACGCTCACGAGGACTGGTTCTGTGAGTGATGGCCTTCCCGCCTCGACTCGTCCTCCTCCTCCTCCTCGTCTCTTAGTTTTCAGCAGGCGCGCTCTTTGCCAGCTCTGTGCCGCTGCATGCCTGCGCTGTTCCACCCTCTAATAGATTGGCGCCCTGGTGCCATCTCTTGCTGGGCCCTGGCGGCCCACTGCGGCAGCTCCGGTGCCCGATGTCCCCCTCCTCCTGCCACCCCCCTGCCACTCTTCTCCTCCCGGCCGCTCTCCGTCTCCCCCCGCGGCCCCCCCGGGGGCGGGAGGCGCGGCGCTCCCGATGTCCGACTTGTAGGACGTCCAGACCAGCATCGGCAGGAACAGGAACGTCAGGATCGCCTCGCGCCCGTCGGCAGCGCGCGCACGGGGGGGGGCCCAGGGCGAAGGGGGCAGGGCATCAAGGCAGGCGCGAGGGGTGGGGCTTCTCTGAATCCTTCCAAACACCGCTTTTGGAACGCTGATCATGAGAATCCGTGAAGTTCTTGAACAACTGAAAAACCGACGTGCGCGACGCTAAGGCGAGAACCACATTATGACAATGAGCCGTCCTCGACCTGTGAAACTCTTGCAAATGTTTACAACGAGTGCACGCGGCGCCAGGGCGAGAGTCACATTTGAAAACGATCCGCCCTCCATCCGGGACACTCTTGCAAACGTCTAACACGAATGTGCACGGCGCTGAAGCGCGAACCACATGTTGAGCAACCGCGCGGGAGCCCCCCCTGGGCCAGACGCCCCGGGGGGACCCGTCTTCCATCCCGAGGCGGGCCCCGACGGCCCCGTCGACCGGCGAGGGCCCCGACGGGGCCCAGAAGCAGGAGCAGAGGAAGATTTTGGAGTCCCGGAACGGTGCGGTGACGCACCGTGCGGTGACCTCGACATACCCCAAGACCTCAGGGGGCTCAAGAGTTCGAGGCGGGTATACCCAGAGGGGGTGCCCCATGCCTCGGCACGGCCCACCGGCTCTGGCGCCCCGCGAGCCTCCGGTGCCCGCCCTGCGCACCGCCCTGCCGATGCCTTGGCTTCGGCCGCTCGACGCACGGGCACCTGCTGCGCCCAGCGACGTCCAGCGGAGTCCGTGGACGCACCCCTCGACGAGGCATGCGGAGGCATGCCCTTACCAGCCTCGAACGTATCCCTATCCCTAAGATTGACACGCCAAAGGGCGATGACAATCTTAGGGATTCGCCCTCAATAAATAAGGGAATGCCTAAGATTGGCATCGTGATGAGGAGGTGCCCAGCATAGGGATAGGGATATGTTCCAGGCTGGTAATACCCGTGCGGATGCCTGGGCATCAGCAGCGGCACGATCGGGCATCCACGTGCGGCCATGATGCGTAGGTATCCGGGCTGGGGGATTTCAAGGTGGTGGTTGGGAACAGAGCGAGCGGGCCGACCCAGCTGAGCCACAGACCCTCATGAGAGATCGGCCACTCTCTGGAGGCTTCTGAGGAAGCCGATCAAGAAGGCATGTGGCTCTCGAGATTCGTGGCCTCCCCTCTCGGCAGGACGCCCCCCCTCTCGCCCCGACCCCCCCTTGCGGCCCGCCGAGCTCAGGGCGTGGCACAGCCCCAGACCTCGTGTGAACTCCCCCTCGCCCTCTTAACTCCTTCCCTCCCGCCACACCCCCTCTGCACGGTTTTCCCCGGGGCCGTGGGCGACCCGAGGAGGAAGAGGAGGAGCAGGAGGAGGAGGAGGAGGAGGAGGAGGACTAGAAGGAGGAGGAGGAGGAGGAGGGGGAGGAGGAGGGGGGGGAGGAGAAGATGGAGGAGGAGGAGGGAGAAGGGGAGGGGGAGACGAGGAGGAGAGAGGAGGAGGAGAAGGAGCAGGAGGAGGAGGACGGGTCGTCTAGGCCCTTCGGAGAAACCCCTACACCCCCTCCTCCTCCAGCGGTCGACGGGAACATGATTTCAGCTCTGAGCTTTGGCCCCTGGGGGCCTGCGAGGCGAGCGCATGCGAAAACGAATTCGGGAGCTCCAGAACCCCACGTGCTGAATAGACCAGGCAGTCGGATGTCCCAGGTCACGGCACAGGGACTCGCCGCTTTGAACCTAGCCAGACACTCAGAGCCCTCACGGAGGAGGGTGCAGGAGAAGGAGAAGGGCGAGGACGAAGAGGAGGACGACAGAGGAGGGGGGAAGCTCCGCCCTCCCGCCCCGGCGAAGGCCAGGGAGGGAGGGGGGCGGATGGCACCGAGCACCCCTTAGGTCTGTCGCGGGTCTGCGCCGCAGAAGCTGCGCCACACGGCGGCTCTGTCGTGAGAGATACGCCGCAGGCCGAGCCAGACGCCCCGCCGGCAGCCAACGTCGTGAGTGCTCTTGTGCTCGGCTTCCCCTCTGGCTCTACACATAGAGTAAGCAACATACTACATAATTGATCTACCCATATTTGATTTTCTGCCACGAAGAAAGCGTAACATGCACTTGTTGATGTATTCGACGGCACAACCAATTCTGGAGTAAAGCAATTCTGCTGCAGAGAATGCAGAAAGCCCCTACATCATGCGCTGCTGAGGGAGACTCGAGGCGTCCATATGTGGCCTCAGGACGGGGAAGAGGTGTAGAGGGAGGTTGGGAGGGGGAGGGCTGGCGGAGGCAGCTCCCTCTTCTTTCACTCCCTGCCCTGTCTCCCTCCCTCCCATCCTCCCCATCCTCTCCCTCCTCCTCCCTCCTCCTCCCCTCCTCCTCCTCCTCCCTCCTCCCTCCTCTTCCTCCCCTCCCTCCCCTCTCCCCTCGCCTCCCCCCTTCCTACCCCCCTCCCTCCGCCCACCCTCCTCCCTCCCCCTTTGCCCTCACTCCTCCTTCCCATCTCTCCCCTTTCGTTCCTGCATCCGCTTTCCTGATTCCTCACTGCTCCCTCCTTTCTCCTCCGCCTCCTTTCCTCCACCCTAACCCCGTCCAGCTCCTCCCCCAGTTGGAGACGATGGGCGAGGGGAAGGGGAGGGAGGTGCACCCGACCCTGGCTGGTGCACCGAGGATTCGCCCTCCCAGCGCAGGGCCCTTTCCGAATGCATGGTGCTACGCGGGCGACGTGTATCGGACACCGCAGGACGCCGCCCAAAGTTGGCACCACTTGTCGAGCATCGCGGAAACAGCAGGGGGGAAGAAGGAAAGCGAGGAGGGGGCAAGGAAGGCCAAGTAGCGCGTGAGAGGAAGGAAGGGAAGTGAGATAGGGCCGCGGATGGTGCGCGGAAGGGGAGCACGATGGCACTAGAGGAAGGCGGCACTGGCAAAACAATGTCGGCATCGCTCTTGGGGTGCCTCCCAAGGGTCTACCTGGTCCTTGGTGTTCACGACCAGGATGAAGGTGGCCCACAGATACCTGCCACCCATTCCTTCTTGCTACTGCGGCTCCACGTCGTCCTCGTAGTTATTATCCTGCTGCTGTTCCTCCTCCTCCTTCTCCTCCTCCACCTCCTCACCCTTCTCTTGTTGCGCTGGCAACTGCGACCCTGTGAAAATAAACTTCTCACCGCCCTTTCCTCGTCATCTTCATTGTCGTCATCAGCATCATCATCATCATCATCATCATCATCATCAGCATCAGCATCATCATCATCAGCATCATCATCATCAGCAGTATCATCATCATCATCACCAGCACCATCACCACCACCAGCATCATCATCATCATCATCATCATCATCATCATCATCATCATCATCATCATCATCATCATTAGAATCATCATCATCATCATCATCATCATCATCATCATCATCATCATCAGCATCGTCATCTTCACCTGCATCAGTATCATCAGCATCATCAGCAGCAGCAGTATCATCATCATCAGCATCATCATTATCAGCATCATCATCCTCATCAGCATCATCATCGTCTCAATCGTCAATAATCATCATCGTCAGAGGTATCGCCATCATCAGCAGCAGCATAATCAGCAACAGCCGCAGCAGCAGCTGCTGCACCATCATCGTCATCAGCATCAGCATCATCATCACCATCAGTATCATCAGCATCAGCATCATGAACACCATCATCATCACCATCATCACCAGCATCATCATCATGATCATGGTCATATGCATCATCAGCAGCATCATCACCAGCATGAGCATCAACAATATCGTGATGCTCATCATATTCATCGTCAGCGGCAGCATCATCATCATCATCATCATCATCATCATCATCATCATCGTTGTCGTCATCACCACCATCATGGATAACGTATATAACGTGAACATAACATGAACACAGCCACCATCATCATCATCATCATCATCATCATCATCATCATCATCATCATCATCATCATCATCATCATCATCATCATGATCATCATGACCATCATCAACATCATAATCAGCATCGTCATCACCATAGCAGCACCATCATCATCGCTACCATCATCACAATAGTTATAATCAACATGAGCACCATCATCATCATACTCATCATCATCATCACCGCTATTATCAGAATCAGCATCATCAGCACCTCGTCATCAGCATCATCAGCAGCAGCAACGGTCATCATTATTATCATCATCGTCCATCATCATCAGAATCACCGTCCTCATCATCACCATCATCATCACCATCATCATCATCATCGTCATCATCATCATTGTCGTCAATATCGTCATCATCATCGCCGCCATGCCGACGTCACCAACACAATCACCACCACCACCATCATCTTCACCCTCATCATCCTCAATATCATCCTCATCCGCATCCTCCTCATCATTAGCATCAGCACCATCACCATCACAATCACCAGCAGCATGATCATCATCATCATCATCATCATCATCATCATCATCATCATCATCATCATCATCATCATCATCATTCGCATCATCACCAACATCCTCATACATCATTGCCATCGTGAAACACCTCACCAGCCTCAATTTCATCATCAGCGGAGAAATCATCAGCCTATTCCTCATACTCAGACTTTTCATCCTCATCGTTAGCCAACCTCTTCCTCACTCGTCCTCCAGCTGACCCTCTGATGATGCACGAGGTGGACCAGTCCAGAATCAGTTGTCCTCCTTCGATCCACGAATCATCGATCGTGGGGGCCGCGCGGAGAGCGAACGCCGCCTGACGCGTGGGCGGAAGGGCACGCGCCGAGGGAGAAGGCGGCCGTGATGTAGAAGGCGGGGAGCTCCTTTATCACCCGCACCTGCGGAAAAGGAGCGAGCGTCCAGGGGAGGGGGCGCCCAGACCACTCCTGCTGACTCGTTGGGGGGGGGTCGCGCCAGGGTATTTTTTTGTATTCTCCGTCCTGCGCCCGGCGGGCCGCTTCTGGGCCGGGGGCCGTCCGAGCCCCAGACCCGGGCGCCGCAGAAAGCAGCGACCCATGGGTTTCGCTGCTTTCACCCGTTGGAGGCCGCCTGTTGGCTCTGGGCCAACCAGAAACGAACCTAAGGACCATCCCTTCACTCGGGAGCGGCCAAGAGGGGGGCGTCCAAGAGGGGGGGGGTGCAAATCGTGACCGGCGGCATGTGCGCGGCCCAGCGGGGGGGCCAGGGACGTAATGAAATAAGAAGAGGCGCCATGAAATCTGGGGAGATATCATGGCCCCCGCCATGATATCCCCCCCCCCCTGGTCATCACCCCCCTCCGTTCCCGCCCCCGACCGTTGGAGGCCGTCTGTGGGCTCCGGGCCAACCAGAAACGAATCCGGACCCTCCCAGCCGTCTTCTTCTGCTCCTGGGGCCCAGGAAGGCAGGAGAGCCCGAAATCGAATCGACAAGTCGGATCGGAAGTCGACATGAGTCGGATCGGCGAAAATCGGCAGCCGAGTCGGGAAAAGTCGAATCGGCAGAAATCGGCAGGTTAGTATGCCTCCAAGAAGAAACAGGAACCCAAATCGGAATCCCAAGTCGAATCGAATCGGAATCGGAAGCCATCGAAATCGAATCGAATCGAATCGGAGGAGTCGAAACGAGCCCTGGGAAGGGCCCCGCGCGAGCCGGGCAGCGGCGAGAGCAGCTGCGGGAGCCGCTGCCCTCGGGGCCCGCCGGCTGCACGGCGTCGAGGTGCCGGGGGCGCGGCATGGGCGCACGAGGTCTGGGCGACGAGGTCCAGTCGGGGAGTTGACCTAAAAAGGAACGATAGATCAGGGACGAGGCCCCTTTCCCCATAAGATAAACCCCGATGTTCCATGGAAAACCCAGGAAGCCCAAAGGAGCACTGGAAAGCAACCAGGGAACACGGAGCCCCTCCCCAACAAAAAGGGTTCCTTCTTCAGGGCCCCGACTGTATGGGCGCACGAGGTATGGGCGACGAGGTGTAGGAGCCCTCCCTGGGCGCACCCGCTCCTCCAGTGCGTCGATGCCGCCTCGACGCTCCGCCCCTGGGGCCCCATTTTTCGCGAAGCGGCCGAAGAGCGTCGGAGGAGGAGGGGGCGCAGACGCCTCTGAGGATGCCACGCTGGTCCCAGCAGGGGAGGGGTCGGGAGCCTCCGGGAGGCCGGCCGCTCCAGCTTCAACAAACTCCGAGGCGCCCGGGGGGTGTGCGGGGAGCAGGGAAGAGCGGCATCCTCCGCCCTCCCGTCACCGTCGTGGCCTCGTCGAGACAGGGCTTGACGACCTCTGCTGTCCCTCGACTCGCTCTGGACCTTCCCCGACTTCTCGGGGCACACCTCGACCTACTTGGAATTACGTCGACTCATGCAGACCGACAGCAACGTATCTGACCTGATCCCCGCAAGTCGGTTGGAACAGGGTCGTCAAGCACTTAGTAGGGGCCTTGATCCTGACAAGATGAGCCAGCATCGACTCGGGAAATCGGGTCGAATCGTAATGTGCGTCGGATAGGGCTGCATCGGCACGGAATAGAAATCGAATCGGTTCGGCTGCACCAGGATGCACAACAGCGCCGTGTGAACATCGGTCCGCATCGGATCACTGGAACATCAGAACCAAACCTGATCGATCGAATCGGAATAGGCCCTGTCTTAGCACATGCAACCTCCTTCGGATGACCGAGCGAAATGTCCCTAGAGGTCTCCCCTGACGTAGAGCGGATTTGGCACTGGGACAGCGCCAGCGAACAACTCGGGCCTCAACCCCCCTTCGCGTTCCCCTGAGAAGTCCGCCGTCGTGCCCGATCGTCGCCCATTCGGCCCCCTGTCGCTGCCCCTGAAAGGAGCGCCGCTCTGGACTTGGGTCGGGCATGTCCCCCCACAGGCGGATTCTGCACGACAGATTCAAAAGCACTCCAAAAAGGCGAGAAAAATACTCAAAAAGAATCGAAAATCGTCCCCCCACACCGTGTTTTTGACTATTTTTGAGTGGTCCTCCTGGAGAGTCGGGTCGGGCGGAAGGGGGGGATAGCAAAGGGGGGGGTTGAGAATCAGCTCACGTAGCTGATTTTCCCGGCGCCTCCCAGCGCCGGATGGAGCTATGTATCGAGGAATGGGCCCCTCGGTGAGGCCGAAACCAGCTGCATGCAGCAAATTTCGTAACCCCCCCTTTCCCAATCCCCCCCTTTCGCCCGACCCGAGAGAGTCCTCCTGGAGAGGGACAGGCCCGCCTTAGCTCTGGACGCCTGGCCCCGCGCGAGAGGCCGGTCCGGGCGCCGCGCGCCCGGCCCTCGGGGGTGCCCCCTTCGGGGGCCGGCCCGCCGCGCGCCTCGTCGGAGGGGATGACCACCACGCAGACGGCGACGATCACCATGAGGTTGAACGACGCAGAGCCAACGATCGTCGAGGGTCCTCGCAGCAGGGCGAGAACGTACCAGGCGGGCGCGGCCGCAGGGAGCCCCTCGCGAGGAGCCCAGCCCTGAAGGCCCGCGCGCGGTGCACCCGAGGGGAGGCCCTGAGCACCCTGGAAGCAGCAACTCCTTCAACGGCTGTGGGAAGTCACCGCGCAGCTCGCGGAGCGAAAAAACAGGATGCCCTGGCGAAAGAGCATCTGCTTTCTTGATGCGCGCCCCCAGTGGAGGAAGAAACAACATCAGCATCATCAGTTTGTCGTCAACACCACCACCATCAGCATCATCCTCCTCATCATCAGCAGCAGCATCAACGTCAACATCAGCATCAACATCGGCATCAGCATCAGCATCAGCACCAGCACAAGCATCAGCATCAGCATCATCATCATAGATCCTCAGCATCAGTATCATCATAGATCATCAGCATCAGTATCATCATCACCATGTGCCATCAGCATCATTATCATCATCAGCATCAGCATCGAAAGTAGCAGCAGTAGCCGCATCTTGAACATCGTCAGCAGCATCACCATCAACATCATCACTCATCATCAGCATCTTCATCAGTATCATGGTAATAAGAACAACAATCATAATCATAATCAAAATCAGCATCAGCATCGTCACCATCTCCATCACCATCACCATCGCCACTACCACCATCATCACAATCACCATCACCATCACCATCGCCATCGTCATCATCATCAGCAGCATCATCAACATCAACATCAACATCAACATCAACATCAACATCAACATCAACATCATCATCATCATCATCATCATCATCATCATCATCATCATCATCATCATCAGCATAATGGTACTATCACGACGCAGAGCCAACGATCGTCGGGGGTCCTCAGAACAGGACGAGAACCTTGCCATCGTTCGGACGTTCATTCCACGTGCATGCTTCGGCTTCGTGCGTTTCCCGCGCGAGAGATGATCAAGGGATGCTCTCGATGGTCTTCGCCAGGAGGAAAATGCACACGCCTGAGCGATGCCAAAGGAATGAAGAGGCAGAGGCCGGGCGTGTCCCCCTACAGGCGGATTTTGGACGAAGGATGTAAAATAGTCGAACAATACCCCCAAAATGTTGAAAAATACTAGAAAAATCGTCCCCGTACTATTTTGAAATATTTTTGAATATTCCTCCTGTAGAGGCACACGCCCGACTGAAACATACACTGTTGGAGGTCCGCGCAGATTTCGTGGATCCGCGCGGAGCGCGCTGGGAAGAGCGCCAGAAGCGCCGCCATGCGTGGGGACAGGCGCCGATCCGAGAAACCCGCGCAGACCACAGAAGGCAGGCGACGTGCGACTGGCTCGGGATACGTTCCAGGACTTCCGGAGCCCGTGTGGACAGGCAGGGGATCTCTGAAACCATGGACATACAAGGAACGTTTCATCATCATCATCATCATCATCATCATCATCATCATCATCATCATCATCATCATCATCATCATCATCCTCATCAGCATCAGCATCAGCATCAGCATCAGCATCAGCATCAGCATCAGCATCATCATCATCATCATCATCATCATCATCATCATCATCAGTATCATCATCATGCTTCTCCTTCTCCTCATCATCATCATAATCAGCATCATCAGCAGCATCATCATTATCATTATATGTATCATGATCAGGGCCATCATCATCACAAAAACCATCATCAGTATCATCATCACCATCCTTCTCATCCTCCTCATCCTCATCCTCCTCATCATCAGCATCATCATACTCATCATCAGTACGATCATCATAATCATCATCAGCATCATCATCACCATACTCGTCCTCATCAGCATCAGCATCATCGGAGTCCTCATGATAAGTGTCATCATCACCATCATCATATTCATCATCATCATCATCGTCATCACCATCACCATCATCATCAGCAGCAGCATCATCACCATCATCATCAGCATCAGTATCATCATCGTCATCATCCTCATCATCAGTCTGCCTCCTCGGGCGCAAGGGCTCTCCTCACACACGGCGTCCCCGTGTTTTGCCACCGCCGCCGCCTCTCCGTGCGCGGGCCCTTGGGATGTCTGTTTCGAGCGCACGCTAGCATGGATTAGAGATCCGTGGAACTGGCGTGTGGGCGCCAGATCCACGGATCGGGGTAAGGACCCCCCCAAAACATGTATTCAATGTGGATCGGTTCGGGCGCACACTGGCGTGGAGTGGGGATCCGTAGATCGGGGGAGGCATCCCCGAATTAGAAGGCCAGTGCCGCCTGATTCGGCGACGGGTTACGCCGGTTCTGTTCGATAACGGGGCCCATCGCTCTTCCACGCGCCTGAATCCATGTGTGAGCTTCCTCTACGTTTTGCGGGTGCGATCGGGGGCTGCTCAACCCGATCGGGAAACTAACAGTTGAGACTGTAGCAAGGCAGATGAAACAGAATCATGAGCACCAAGACGGACTTCTAGACTGGAGCAAGCATCAAGCCTGAACACCCCCAAAAGTCCTCTCCCCCGCCTCCTCCTCCTCTTCCTCTTCCTCCTCCTCCTCCTCCTCCTCCTCCTCCTCCTTCTCATCCCTCCTCCTCCTCCACTTCGTCCCTCCACCTCCTCAAGACAGCCCTGGAGCCTCTTGAATCCGCTGGAACCTGCTAGGAACCCTGGGGAATCCCCAGGAAGCCCCTAAAACCACTCCAAGGCTCCTAAGACCCTTCGCCCTATCCTCCTCTTCCCTCCTCCCCTCCCAACCCCTCCTCATCCTCCTCCTCCTCCTCCTCCTCCTCCTCCTCCTCCTCCTCCTCCTCCGCCTCCTCTTTTCATCGGGATTGCATGCACAGCTCGGGCCAAGGGTGTGACGGGAGGTGTGCTGGCGCGACCTCCTCACCGCGGGCGCAGTCCTAGCTGAGCCGCGTGAAAGTCCTTCTTGAAGACATCGATCAGCGCGATGAAGATTTCCGGGGCAGATGACCCCTGGACCCCCCGCCGTCTGTGCGGCACCGCAGGAAGACGCCAACAGCGCAGCACATACGGAAGGACTAAAAGGATACCGCTGAAACTAACGCCCTGGATCTCTCCCGCGGTGCATTCTGACTGGACGACCACGACCGCGACGACGACGACGAAAAACGACGACGACGACGACGACGACGACGACGACGACGAAAAACGACGACGACGACGACGACGACGACGACGACGACGACGAGGGACGACAACGGACGGCGATGGACGACGACGACGACGTCGACGACGACGTCGACGACGACGTCGACGACCGCGACCGCGACCGCGACCGCGACCGCGACGGAGGCGACGACAGCCAGGGAGGCCGCGTGGCTCGGCGCCAGCAGCGGGCGCCCCCCCTTCGGAACACGCCCGCCGGCAGCCCAGTCCCCAAACCCGGCGCGCCAGGGCCATCAGCGTCAGGGTCGCCACCGTCTCGTTCCAGACCTGCGGACGGCGGGAGGGTCACGACACGACGACACAGGAGCCGAAGAGCAAAAAAAAGTGGCGGGGGCCACTACACCCTGCGAGATGCTTTAGAAATCATGGGTTCAGAAATTCATAGTCTCAGAACTTGAACAAAACCCAGGACTTCTATCAAAATCTTGGGATTCACATTGAGAAGTTAAGAATAAGCGAGACTCTGGACGAAAACTTAGGTTTTCTTAAGCATCGCCTAGGGTCTAGGCATGTGCAGCCCTCGACCCTCGAAGGGTCAGGCGCGGCTGCTCGATACCATCTTGGACACCACCAGCTGGGAGCACCATCGCGCCAACTGGCGGCATCCTTGGCTCGCACACGGTCTTGGCGCTGCCAGACGGAGCGCCGCAGAAGGAACGAAGCGTTCCATGATGCACGAAGCGCGCGCATCAGATCATACATTTCTCGGGAACGACCGAGACCTTTTTCGCAGGCGTTCCCTCGTCGCTGCTCCCCTCCCTCTGCCGAAGCCCATGGAACGGGGGCCCGCGGATCTAAGAAAACCAGGAGGCGCCGCCAGCGAGCGCTGCCCAGGGAACGGATATGCTTCTCTAAGCTGGGCGCGCGGATGACGAGCGCCCCGACGGCCCTCTGGCCAATTCTGAGACGGAATCGATCGCGAGGAACCGAAGGGCTCGCGCGAGGAACTGAGCCTTGACTTGGCCACTGTTTCTGCTGGGCACACACGCGAAGCTCAGAGCACGTCAAGGAACGGCAGGACCCGTTCTACAAACTCGTCGAGCGGACAACGACCGTCCCGAAGGACCCCCTGGCCACCTATGGACCTAGACCGATCGCAAAGAACCAAGGGGCTCGCGCGAGGGCGGGGCCGTGCAAGGGCCGACGACGACTGCCCCCTGCCGACTTCCAGATCACTGAAAACGAGCGGGGCTCCTGCTTTCCCGCGCCTCTCGCCCGACCTGCCGCCTGCATCGTCTGCTGCGGACGCCCGCTCTGGGAACGCCCAGGGGCAAGCCCCTCCTCCTCCCGCCTGCTCCACCTCCTCCATCCTCCTCCTCCTCCTCCTCCTCCTCCTCCTCCTCCTCCTCCTCCTCCTCTTCCTCCTCCTCCTCCTCCTCCTCCTCCTCCTCCTCCTCCTCCTCCTCCTCCTCCTCCTCCTCCTCCTCCTCCTCCTCCGCCTCCTCCCCCGACCAAACAATGCGTAAAGGCGGAGAGGCACAAGAGACGGAGAGTTGGAACCAGGGGGCGGAGGAGGGGGCACGAGGGCACGCCCGCGTCGATTCGGGCCTGGGGCCGAGCTCAGGCCCGAGCCCAAGCGCGCGGTCAGACTCGAGCTCGGACTCAAAGCCCAAATCGGGGGCGCGCAAACATGGATTAACGATCCATGGATTAGGCGCGCGAGCGCCAAATCCATGGATCGGGGGAAGTGCCCTCCCCAACATGCAGCCAATACCGCCTCGCTCGGCGGCGGAAATCCCCGATTTCCCGTGGAAACAGGACCCGTCGCTAATCCACGCCCCCTAATCCGTGTTTGCGATCGCCTGACTCAAGCCCAAAGCCTTGTCCGATGGGCCCACTCGATGTAGCCACAAAGCCCAACCCCCTGCCAACGCCTCGGCCTTCCCCTCTGCCCTCGCCATAGCCTCGGCCCAAGGTCTTTCTGCTATGGATGACTCCATCGGAGGCTCCTAAGGCGTTACAGGCCTCAGAGTGCAGTGAGCTGCTCAACCCTATGAGAGCGAGCTACTGGATCTCGGCCCAAGGTCTACCCAACATGTAAAGAAACTCCAGCGCCACGCCTGAATCCTCTGGAGACTGGTGGAAGATGCTGACGGGAGATACAGGGCTCCTCCGCACAATATCGGCACGCAACGACACGACTGTGAGAAACTGCTGCAACGACACAGAGGATGTCACGGCTTAGCACCACTCCCACAGATGGCAAAGCCAATGGCGGCCCCTTGGAAAACTGACTCTACTCAGAACGGAGGCGGGGCACGAGTCGCCTGGGTACCCCCAACGAACACACTGGATAGACTGATCTGTCGGACCGCAGAGCGCAAATCAAAGCACCTCTTGCAAGTCCTCCTCCTCGTTCTCCTCGGCCGCTCAGTAGTGCGAGGCAGATCAAGGGATGCAAAATAATGCGGCAGCTCTAGGAGAGAGAGGCCTTGGTGGTCTTGATCTTGCCGTTCTCGTCTGTTGTCTGCTTCCAGCGCGCTGTTATCTCCTCGGAGCTAAATGAGGCGGCATTCAGGGAGAAAGAAAAAATGGAACTAAACACCAAACAACGTATGCAAGAATTCGCTCAGTTACCCCTGATCTGTAGTGTCACGACATGTTCAGAGGCATAGGCATGTGAGAGCTCCCGGTCTTAGGTCTTAGGCAGCAGGCCCTTCTCGATGTCCTTCGTTCCGCCTCCAGAGCGATGCTGGAACATCCGCCCCGACGAGTGAGGCCGGGGGAGGCCAGTAACAAGAGGAAACTGCTTGATCATGGTTTCATGCGCTTCCCCCGATAAACATCGAGAATGCCGTTGAGGGTCCTTTGGCAGGGTGAAGTGCTCTGTCCTTGAACGCGCTGAAACATGTGAGGTGGCATCACATTTTATAAGGAACCAGGAGAGCGGGGTCTGGGGGTGGAGGGGAAGGGGATAGGGGGGAGAGGAAGGCGGGCGAAGGGGCGGGGCAGGGGGGGGGATGGCGGAAGGTGGGACAGGGAGGGGAAGTGGGAGGGGGGAGAAGGGAAAGAATGGAGAAAGAGGCGAGGACGGGTGGAGGGCAAAACACTCCTCCATCTCAGTTCTGCTCCGCCTCCCGATCATCATCATCATCGTCAGCATCATTATCATCATCATCATCATCATCATCATCATCATCAGCATCATCATCATCATCATCATCATCATCATCATCATCATCATCATCATCATCATCATCATCATCATCATCATCATCATCATCATCATCATCATCATCATCGTCGTCAGCATCATCATCATCATTATCATCATCAGCTGCAGCATTAGGAACATCATCATCAGCATCAGCATCAGCAGCATAATCATCAGCACAACCACCACCATCATCAACATCAACAACACCATCAACATCCTCTTCGTCATCCTCCTCCTCGTGCTCCTCATCGTCCTCCTCCTCCTTCTCCCCTCCCTCTCCTCCTCAGCAGCATCATCAGCATCATCAGCATGATCATCATCGTCATTAGCATCATCATAATCATCATCATCATCATCATCATCATCATCATCATCATCATCATCATCATCATCATCATCATCATCATCATCATCATCATCGGCATCATCATAATCATCATCATCATAACCACAATCGCCATCGTCGTCGCGTCGTCAGCGTAATCCTCATCAGCGACAGAATCCTCATCCTCCTCATCAGCATCCTCATTGCCATATATAACCATCACCATAGTCATCATCATAACCTGACTACCTACCAGACCACCCCAACCCAACCCGAAGACCCGAATTTGACCCGAATTTCGGGTTGGGGGGGGTACGGATACCATGTGTTTTTTCAACGTTCCCCGACCCCCCCCCACTGGAAATCGAGGATAAATCTGAGCCTTCGGGTTGGGTTGGGGTGGTTTGGTGGGTGGTGATAACCAGCATCGCCATCACAATCAACATCACCCTCACCATCATCATCGTTGTCATCAGTACCCTCATCACAATCACCATCATCATTGTCATCATCATCATCGTCAGCATCAGCATCAGCATCAGCATCAGCATCATCCATCCGCATCATCATCATCATCATCACCATCATCATCATCATCATCATCATCATCATCATCATCATCATCATCCGAATCAGCATCATCGTCATCATCGTCAGCATCCACATCACCATCACCATCACCATCATCCATCAGCATCATCATCGGAAGTATCATCGCTATCGGCATCGTCAGCACCATCGTCACCGTCATCATCAGCATCATCATCATCACCATCCTCATCACCACCACCATCATCACCACCACCACCACTATCACCATGACCAGCACCACCATCATAATCAGCGTCACCAGAAGCATCGTCGCAATCATCCTCCCCATCAACATGATAATCGTCGCCGTGATCAGTAGTGCATCCGCATCAGCATCATCATCAACATCGTCATCATCATCAGCAGCATCATCATCATCATAATCACCACCACCACCATCATCATCATCATCATCATCCTCATCATCATCATCATCATCATCATCAGCATCAGCATCAGCATCAGCATCATCATCATCATCATCATCATCATCATCATCATCATCATCATCATCATCTCCGTCATCGTCGACTTCATCGTCATCATGATCGTCATCGTCACCATCAGCATCATCAGCACACTCACATTCATCATCATCATCATCATCATCAGCAGCATCATCAGCATCATCATCATCAGCATCATCAATATCATCATCATCATCATCATCATCATCATCATCAGCATCATCATCATCATCATCATCATCATCATCATCATCATCATCATCATCATCATCATCATCATCATCATCATCATCGTCAGCAACATCATCATCTCCGTCATCTCCGACATCGTCGACATCATCGTCATCATCATCGTCAGCAACAGCATCAGCATCAGCATCAGCATCATCCATCATCATCATCGTCATCATCATCATCATCATCATCATCATCATCCGAATCAGCATCACCATCATCATCATCATCATCATCATCATCATCATCATCGTCAGCATCAACATCACCATCACCATCACCATCATCCATCAGCATCATCATCAGCATCATCATCATCGAAATCATTATCATCATCAACATCATCGCTATCGGCATCGTCCACACCATCGTCACCGTCATCATCATCATCATCATCATCATCATCATCATCATCATCACCATCCTCACCACCACACCCACTATCGACATGACCAGCACCAGCATCATTATCAGCATCACCAGAAGCATCGTCGTAATCATCCTCCCCATCAACATGATAATCGTCGCCGTGATCAGCAGCTCATCCGCATCAGCATCAGCATCAACATCGTCATCATCATCGTCATCATCATCATTATCTCCGTCGTCTTCGACATCATCGTCATCATCATCATCGTCATCCTCAGCATCATCACCACACTCACATTCATCATCATCATCATCATAGTCGTCATCATCATCTTCATTATCCTCGTCATCGTCATCATCTGAATCGTCATCATCACAATCACAAACATTACAAACATCACCATCATCATCAACAACATTATTGTTGCCGTCATCGACAAGACCACCGCCACCATCATCATATCATCATCAGCATCATCATCATCATCATCATCATCATCATCATCATCATCCTCGTCATCATCATCATCATCATCGTCATCATCATCATCATCGTCATCATCGTCATCATCGTTGCCGTCATCGACAACACCATCGTCACCAGCATCATCACCATAATCACCATCACCAGCATTATCATCGCCACCAATATCACCATCATCATCATCGTCGTCATCACCACCATCATCACCACTATAATCAGCATCACCACCATCACCACCACTCCTCCTCCTCCTCCTCCTCCTCCTCCTCCTCCTCCTCCTCCTCCTCCTCCTCCTCCTCCTCCTCCTCCTCCTCCTCCTCCTCCCTCCTTGTCGGGAGCAATGTCGAGAGCGTCGATGGTGCGCGAGCGCCGAGAACGGGGAACCCAGAACGCGGCGGCGCGCTCCTCGATGGCGGCGACGAAGGTGTCGGCGATGATCGCGACGCCTATGAAGAAGTAGACCATGGCTACTCCTGGCGGGCGCTATGTTGAATCGACTCGTACACACGCTACTGGCAACGTGGATCAGGGGTCCGTGGACCGGGCAGCCCCCCCCTCCGAGGCATGAGGCCGCTGCCAACCGATTTGGCGACGGTGCGCGCCGGCTCTGTGCGAAAACGAGGCATGTCGCCGATGCATGCATCTTGGACCGCCTCCCCTCGGGCGAAGGCGGTCCAAGAGGAGGAGGAGGAGGAGGAGGAGGAGGAGGAAGAGGAGGAGGGGGAGGAGGAGGGGGAGGAGGAGGGGGAGGAGGAGGAGGGGGAGGAGGAGGGGGAGGGGGAGGAGGAGGAGGAAGGGCACCTTCTCGGCACACCGGACCCGGCCACCCGCGCCAGACCCGGGGCCAGCAGAGGCCTGCCCAGGGCAGTACCCGAAGGTTGCAGCGGGCGTCGGGGCAGAAGGGTCGGCGACAACTCATGGGGGCCTCCCATACCATCGACGCTAAATCGACGCTAAATCGACGCTAATCGACGCTAAATCGACGCAAAATGGACGCTAATCGACGCTAATCGACGCTAATCGACGCTAAATCGACGCTAAATCGACGCTAAATCGACGCTAAATCGACGCTAAATCGATGCTAATCGACGCTAATCGACGCTAATCGATGCTAAATCGACGCTAAATCGACGCTAAATCGACGCTAATCGACGCTAATCGACGAGAAAACGGTGCTGTCTCATCGATGACTGGACGGTCGTCGACGCGAGCGCACTCTGAAAGCGGAATACTGCGAGGGCGCACAAAAACTCCCACGATTTGCTACTGATAGAAAGGGTGCCCCGCAGATTCCTGGTAACGCGTGGGCCTCCAAAGTTGGCGGCGCGTCGACGACGTCTTTTGGGAGGCTCCGGAGCGCTCCTAAGGGCTCTCGTGGCCGCAGGCTGGGAGCGGCTCAGAAACTGGACGCGACGGTGTCCAGAAGGGCCCGTTGGACAGCTGATCTTGAGGGGTGTTTCCAAGGCTGGTGGCGCGCTGAAGGATCCAAAGCCGAGGTTCATGCTGTTCTCTATAGTATCCAAACGATTCGTATCCAAACGATGGTTGCAATCAGGGGTTCGCACTTCTCTTCTAGAGAATGTGGCCTGGCTGGTGGCTTGGCTGCCCCACGCTCGCCGCCGCCGCCGCGTCGCCGCCGCGTCGACGCCTCGTCGCCGCCCGTCATCGAATCTTGGACCATTTTGGAGTATTGGTTGAGCGTGTTTTAGTTTCCGTCGACAATTTGCCTCTATGGGGGACACGCCCGACCTAACTCAACGCCCCAGCGAGGGGGGGGGGCGTCGTCGCCGTCGACGCGAAAGCGACGGGCCTGGCTGTCGATTGGGTGGCCCACTGCTAGCCGTCGCCGCCCCATCGCCGCCTCGTCGCCGCCCGTCGTCTGGGCCTGGCTGTCGACTTGGTGGCCCACTGCTAGCCGTCGCCGCCCCCATGCCGCCTCGTCGCCGCCCGTCGTCCGGGCCTGGCTGTTGGTCTGGAGTCGCCGCCTCGTTGCCGCGACAGGAACTGCGGCGCCACATTGGATGCACCACATAGGTCCCCCTTTCCACAAGAGTAACAATTTCGACCCCCCCAGGATTAACGAGCCAACTTTTCTTGTTGCAATGTGCATAAGACTCTGTCCCATCGTCCATCCTAGATATGCATCCATACCCTTTCAACCCAGCCAGTTTCGACCCCCTCGGCCATCCTCTGCAAAAAGCATGCGCGCACTCACGTTGATCAACAAGCACTCGTGTTCAAGAACACCTTGAAAATTATCCTGGCGAAGAACCCAACCATATGCAGTTGTGAGTACCGTCGTTGTGGGTATCGCCTTCGGGGGATCTCTTCACGGGGCCATGAAGCATTTTTTGCTGATAGAGACTGACCGCAAGCGAACCAGCCTTCGTTTGAAAAACCACTAGCCAGCGCAGGGGACGCATTCGACCCGATCCCACGCACCGTGGGATGGGTCGCCGTCGTCCTCCTCTACGCTGGCAATGGGAAAGCCAGCAAGGCCGTCCCACAAGGCCAGATCGGCCTGGAAAGCGGGCGGCGGCGAGCACACCTGCCCCGTCCACCCCACCCCCACCCCCCCACTCCCAGCCCCGACCGAAGGAGAGAGAGCAGGCAGAGGCGGCAGTTCGGCCGACTCGAGCAGCCTGCGCTTCCGCAGCAAAATCGGAGGGCCCACGAACTCGCGGGACCGAAGCGGATGGCAGCCTCGCATGAGGTTGCGCAGCCTGTAGTACCTCGAGTCTCTCACGAGGACACCCTGCCTACGATTCATCGGCAAGCAATCCTGCGAAAGACCCTGGCTCTTCTTTTCCGAAAAAGCCCCGCACAGAGAGCAGAACAGGAAGGGCCCCGCGCGGTGAAGTGCGTGGGAGCTGGTCCTGTCGTCACAACGAAGCTGGCGAAGCACCGAGCGTGTCCTCGCTGACCGAAGGCACACCATGCATCGGAACCTTTGCGCAACCACCGTCACTGCAGGGTCGAAGCGCGAGTGCGGCTTCGGGGGACCGAGTCCCCCCTCAATCGTGCCTATGGCACGGCCGAGTATTTGCGCTTGAGCGTCCCGTGGCGTGATCGTGCCGATCCGAGCGACCAGCCTGGTACAGAACTGAGCAACTAGGCGGATGGCGCTGCGCGACGCGCCATGCGCAGAACGCAGCTGGAGGGAATCTCTATGCATGGCGGCACCCCATTTAGCCGACTGATCAGCTTGGGCATTGCCGACCCTCTGCCATTCTGAAATCCGTCCCTCTGCTACGGCAGAGGCAGGAGTATGTGCTTTGACGTGAGAAACCTCCACCGACTCACCCCCACGGTCAGACACAAGCCTCCAAACCTCCCTCCATAGTAAGGCAAGCGGGTCACTCGCAGCGGTGCCTGCTCCAACACCTTGGCGCCAGACATCCACGAGTGGCTTGCAATCCGTATAAAACTTCATCTGAGCTCCCATATAGCGCAGCGCCATCAAGAAACTGAAAAGCTCAGCCGCTGGCACAGATTGAATGAGACAGGGCAGAGGGCCATGGAGGCGAGCAACCACTCGCTTGCTGTCGTCAAGCGAACAGAGTCCCCATCCGCAGCGCCGTAAGCGAGAGAAACGTCCGTGCCTCCCCGACCCATCACCGAACACGTGCATATCGAGCAGCAAGTCGGGAGACCGCACCGTCCACACGACTCGCTCCTCGAGGCAGGGGCTCGGGAAGAGCCAAGCAGGGTCAGGGACAAGAAAGCGCGTGAAAAGCAAGGTATCCACCGCAGCAGCACGAGCCATGTCAAGCATTTGACCAGCCATGGCACTGCCAGCTCTGTAATCCCGACGAAACTCAGTATGCAGGGGGCAATCGTAGAATCGGTGCCAGGTAGATCCAGCACTCTGACAGGCAAGGCAGCTCGGGTTGACGGCTCCACCTGACTCGTACAGTCGCTCCTGCGACCAGAACCCTCCTGCAAAAAGGCACCGCAGAAGACCCTGATGCCTTGGGGTCCAGTCAGGGCCTCGGATAGAATGAGGCTGGAGGAGGGACCTCAGGGGCTCCACGAGAGGAGGATGAGGGCAGGGCGAGACCCACGAGGGATGCTTCGCGAGAACCTGTCGCCACACCCACCGCTCGGTGGCCTCATCAACTAACCTACCTCCATCCTTCGGGGAAATCTGTTCAATTGCGAGAGGACCTCGGTGGGTCTTCCAATGAAAAGGGTCAGATACAGACCAACCCAACCGCAAAAGTGTCGCAACTAGCGCAGAAGCAGGTCCGCGAATGTCAGACCAAACTTGAGACACAGGAACACTAGACAGGCGTGCCCATGCTCCACTCAGAAGTCGCGCCATATCTGCTCTGGGGGCCCATCCGTCCCACAGCGCCTGCAGCCAGAGGAAGATCGGGCTCCTGTTGCACTCGAAGGCGGGGTCGACCTGCGGCCCAGCAAGCATGAGGTCCAATGAGAGCGACCTGCCCGTGTGCCTGTAGACCATGCCCGCGCGCGCCAGCTGCCTCGCCCTCAGCAGGTGCGTGTTGCTGATGCCGTGAACTCCCACTGCCCAGAGCATACCAGGCTTGAGGCCAGTCTGCACCAGTTTGATCGTCTTGCCCCCAGCTTTCGCGAGCCGCTTATACCGAGGGATCCGAGACGCCATCCTGCCCAGCCGCTGTGCACGAACCGAATGAGAAAGCCGATTTCCACCGCCAAAGTCCAGCCCCAGGTTCCGAACCGAGCGTGTGAGGAACCTCGACGAGGACGGGTTGACTTTCCTAAACACCTTCCGTATGCCTTGGCCGATGACCACCTGGTGCTTCTTGGGCAGGGAGAGGGTCAAGCCGATCTGCGAAAGCTCAGCCGCCAAGAGGTCCTCGGCCCCCTTGAGTTCCCTGGCAACTTCCCACGCCTCGCCAATACGTTGCAACTGCAGATCATCCACCACGACCGCCACCTCGACATTCACGAAGCGAAGAGAGACGGCATCCACTGGCGACAAGAGCACCAGACGCAGCAGGGAAGTCGCGCAGCTGCAGCCCGCGACAATCGTGCGGTGCGTCACCACCGCCTGTGTGGCGATGTTCTGGAAGAGCACCATTCTGTCGAGGCAATATGATGCGAGCAGGAAGCGAAGGGTCTTACCTCGGAACTTGTGCCGACGGGCAGCTGCAGCTAAAACATGATGGGGCACGTGCTCGTATGCTTTGACCAGGTCGAGCAGGGTTGTCCCTGCCGCTCTGCCCTGGTCCCTGGCCAACTCCGCCTTGAAACTCTGCTTCCAAACGCAAATGTCACATGAGGCCCCTGAGTCACCATACCAGAACAACCGAGGGTTGGCCTTTTCCCAGGGGCCAGCAACTTTCCATCGGGCCCAACGGGACCACAACCGAAGAGGCGTCGCGAAGATCCCAATAGGACGATCTCCCCCTTCAGGCGGCGGCTTCGGTAGAAGAGCAATAAGCAGCAGAGCCCAGCACCTCGGAATGTGAACCAGGCGCTGCAT